ACAAAAAAGCTTATAAAGTAATGTATCCTCCCAACCGTTATAGCTTAGATAAACTTTTATCCAGATCTGTGCCTATTTTTAAGTCTCAGGAACAGAACTATTAAAAACCGGTCCAATTCAAAATAAAACTATGATATGATTGACGCTGTAGGATATCTGAGTAGAGTCCATTCTAGTTTATAATTCGATTTGAGTAATTTGAATGTTAAGAGTAAATGGCTAATCTTGCTTATAAAAAACCTTACTTAACAACTATTCACCATTTACTAAGTGATTGATTTCAGCACTTGCTATAAGCAGGGCCACAGTCATCATAAAATAGTGTACGAAGTATGCAAAGAACAATCTTAACTCAGCAGGTTCATGATATAAATATCAAAACTAATATATTATTTCTGTACCTATTAAAAACTAGTGCTATGCAGGTCTTAATTGAAGAATTTGTAAACTAGAAGAATTATGTCCCTGATATTTCATTAGGGAATAATGTGATCATGATTGCGTGAGAACATGAAATGAGAGTGATCGAAAAAGACGCAAGAAAGGTCATTTCAATGTAGCCTAGTAATATCTTGTATTCCTTTTTCCAAAGAGGTGATCCATGATCCGTCTAGCCAAATGCATTGACCTAAAATAGATTAAGTTCGGATATGAAAATAGTAATTAAACTGTACTACATAATGCTGCTCCGCATTGAAACATCCCTAAGAAATAAAGGCTAAATGGCTCCACCAATCTCAAGCACTATACTGATCACTGCGAGGAAATATTGAGCGTAAAGTAAAAAATTACAAGCTTTTACTATGAGGAAAATAGAGAAGTTTGAGACAAATAAACAAGCTGCTTACCATGGCTTTGAAGCTTCTGCCATATCTGTCTGCAGCTTCTCCCCTCCCTCAACTTCCATTGTGCAATAAACTATTTTATTTCCAGACAAATGCTTCAAGTTTTTCACCTGGCCAACGATAATCTATCAAAATATAAATTCTCATGAAAGTCTAGATTAGATGCACTTTTTGTAATGTTGTGAATGGTTTAAACAAACACTTATAAATTGGGTAAAAATAAAGAGGCATAAAATCATCAATGCACAGATTAAATTAATTGAGCTTTGTTGGCCGAAACTCCAACAAGTTTCATAAGATTAGTTACATTGGGATTAGTCTAACCACTGTATGTTGAAAGACTTTCATTTCGTATAAAAATGGATGACGAAGAGGTTCGTAGGTCTAATTCACCAGAAATTGACTGAGCCAGCCTGAAAGTAGACCAAGGCTAGCTAAGTGCACCTGAGTTACTCAGTTGTAGTCTTGGGCCATATTCTTGACAAATGACTGTCAAGTAAGATAAAGCAATTAAATCACAACCTTCAAAACTGGGTTTATATCTACTTCATTTTACATTATGCTAACCTCAATTGTGAAGTTTAGTTGAATATCCAACTTATTCAAATTCAACTCAGAAGATTCATCAGTTGAATCCTTGAGCAGTGAGCCGGGACTAGACATTATCATCTGGCCACTTCTGTTGTACTTTTTAAACTTTTGAAACCCGCTTGCACCCTTCGTCACTGGGACCGCTTCAAGGCGAATCATCAGCTCACCGATCATTTTGCGCACCTCCTCAATGTAAAGCTGCTCCATGTCCTTTACAACCAGTCGGGGCAAGCGCTTTGTCTATAAAGTTGGAGTGCAAATAGATAAATGCCAAAAAAGGCTTTTTAAAAGAGCATACTAAGCCTAATAATTATAATAAAGTGGCCCTGAGTGATTTGTGTTGAGATCGTAGTTCGACCAATTACTTTGGAATCGTTCTTATAAATGGAGAGGTAACAATGAAGTTTTAGGACAAGAGCCAACTCAATCAACAACAACGACTCAAAAGCTCTATAAAAACACGAATATCAGTTCCATATCATTAAACACTGATATGCTAGTCTCTCTGTAAATGTCGCCGAGGCATGATCACTCTGTGGAAGACACAGTTTTATTCACTATCTTCTGTCAAAATTCCTGACGAATACAGAGTTTGCCGTGTCGAATTCCGTCGGCACTCATGATGCTGCATAGGCGGGGTCAAGTCTGAGGCCTGGCCGCAATGCGGAAGGATGTTGTAAATACAGGCAGAGTTTTATCTACTGGACCAGGCTTTATTTCTTAGGGTGCAGTTCACTTCCCCGTCTATAAAGCACAAATCGACCAATGGTAAATCTTTAATCGGAATTCGGTGATGTTTATGACATTTAATTTATGGTATGGTGTGGAAGTGCCTAATAAACAGATCTATAGGTTGCTCTCGTGTAAGTGACGGTTGATTCGGGATGTCCTGCATTCACTTGTTTTTACTATGGCGTTCAAATTGTCACATTCAATAAGAACCCTCAAAGTTCTGGCGAAAACCTGCTGATATTTTGCCTTTACTACAACTTAGCAGATTGTCAGAACTGGATCATATTCCTAAAAATATCTTCAAAATTAATTTAATCTTTCTTACATAATTTAAATATTATAACAAAGAAAAAATAATTAAACATGTGTACTAGTGTTTATCCGGGTACGAAACCACAAGTTATGAATTTAGGTAATCACTACAGAGCGTGTGTCATAACTAGATCGAAAGGAAACAAATGACTGCTATTGGGTAATTCTGGTTGAATTAGTTAACTTAAGATCTGCATAAGGAATGTAACTATAGTAAGAACCATCTGCGAGCCGACTGGTGGCTCGACAACCAATTTAACATTAAATCAATCAGTAAAGCATAATTAGCATTAACTTAACTTTCTATTTCATTATTGTATCCAATCTAATCCCAATTCCATTACTTTCTATAACCTCACCTCTACTTATAATTACTTAGATCAGGATTAAATGTAGCCTATCGAATCATTTTAATATAACCTTTTATTCTGTTTTATTATTTACTTGAGCATATATTGTATGGAAGGAGTAATTGGTGATCTGTTCGAATTCTACTTACATAAGAAAAATAATCTGTTCAAGTTTGTGTTAAATTAATATTTTGTAAATAATAAGTCTAGCCTTAACTATTTCTGTCAAATGGCATGACAGACGAAATCTAAGTACGATTTCATCAGACCTGAAAAAGTATGACATATGAATTTTTTTCACTCTATTTCGTTTGAGGTAATGAAGGACAGGTAGTTGAATTTCCCTCAATGATATGAGTATAGCTGATGTTTTCCATTGAATTTTACATATCCAGGGTAGAATGCAGTTTCAACCTCACATCAACACCCCAAGTGGGAGTCGAATCATGACAGTGTGGCGTGTAAGCGTGTAACAGTGCGCTAAGTTAACCTTCATGTTAAAATCAAACCAAGGAATAATAACGAGAATATCAGCAGCTGCCTTTTGGTGAGATCGATTGAAGTAGCTCTTCAGTGGACACTTTTAAGCGAAATGAAAGCCATCAAAACACTGTTCTCAGAAGATTAATCAAAACTAAGCCACGCATCCTAAGGGAGCAAAAGAGCATACACAGTAAATTCATACCATAAGCATAAACGGACTTAGATAGAGGCTAAGATGGCGTTCTCTCTAAAGAGGCAAGAACCTTGACTGAGG